CAGCAGTACTTAGTGGAATGCAAGTTTATATTCCAGATACTGGAAATTAAACTGTATAAATCCTTCATTCTTCCATCAATTCAATTATATGTGATGAAAACATTCTGGCTTTGGTTTGAAATGCATTTGATTCATGGTATTTGAATTAGCAGATGTGTAGGCAACTGTGGTAGCAAAGCTAGGAAGCCTTGTGTGGGAGATTGTATTTTGCTTCTGTTGGAAGCCTTTTAGCAAATATGCAGAATACAGCAAATGGAAGGGAGAAAGCACATTTATACAACCTAAAAGCAGCCTGGTGAAGGTACTGAGCATTTGAACATCTCCAAACACTGAACTGAGGAGCCCCAGGGACTGAAAACCAACAAGACATTGGACAATTGCCTTTAGTACATGAACTGGCTTGAGGATTTCATGCCAGCTTGTCTCAGCAAATTTTTGTTCTGTGCTTCATTCATCCTAACAAGCAAGAAAAAAAAAACCATACCAAGATGCCTGCAAAACTCAAGCACTAAAAGGAAGCATGCACAGGGTGTAGCAAGGGTGGGTAATGTGCAAGGGATAAAGGGACACTGTCTGAGCATGCAGAAAACACAGTTAAGAAAGCCAAAATCCACCTGGAATTTAATCCATTAATCAAAGACAACAAGACTTCTATGCATACTTGGTAGACAAAAGGGAGTGAAGGCTATGGAAAATGTGGGCCTGCTGCTGAAAGAGATAGGGGATCTGGTCCCACAGGACATGGAAAAGGCTGAGATATTGAATGCCTTCTTTGCCTCAGAGTTTTCTAGGAAGACTGGACTTCAAGAATCGCAGGTCCCAGAGACCAGGAGAAAAGTTCAAGAGAGTAAGATATGCCCTTGGTGGTAGTGGAACAGGTTTACTTAAGTGAACTGGACATGCCTAAGTCCACAGGCCTTGACTGGGTGCACCCATGAGTGCTGAGGGAGCTGGCAGATATCCTTGTGAGGCCACTCTTGATAATCTTTGATTAATCATGACAACTCTGAGAAGTGCCAGAGAACTAGAGGAGAACAAATGTCACTCCCGACTTCAGGAAGAGCAAGAAGGAAGATCCAGGGAGCTACAGGACCAGCTGGGCTTCATTCTTATCCCTGGGGAAAGAAAGAGAGCAGCTGATTTTGGGATCTATTGTCAGGTATGTGAGGGACAAGAAAGTCATCAGGAGTCATCAAGCATGGCTTCATCAATTAATGTGTGACCAACCTGATAAACTTCTATGATGAAGTGATTGGACTGGTAGTCAAGAGAGGAGTAGCAGACAGTGTCTTCCATAACAGTCCTTAAAGAAAAGTTGAATGAAGTATGGGCTGGAAGAGCAGAATGAGGTGGATTAAAAATGGCTCAGCAGCTTGATCCAAATAACCCAGCCTAGCTGGAGGCCAGTAATTATCAGTGTATCCCAAGAATCAGTACTGGGTCCAGTTCTGTTGAAAGTCTTCACTGATGATCTGGATGATGGGGCAAGTTTGCTGGTGACACCAAACTGGCAGGAATGATGGATACCCCAGAGATCCATGCTGCCATCCAGAAGGGTCTCAACAGGATGGAAAAAATGGGCTGACAGGAATCTAGTGAAGTTCAACAAGGAGAAGTGCAAAGTCCTGCACTTAAGAGAAAAAACTCCCACATACCAATACATGGTAGGGGCCACACACCTTGAAAGTAAATTTGCAGAAAGTACCCTGAGGGTGTGCTGGTGAGCAAGAAGTTGAACATAAGTCAGTGTTGTGTCCTTGTGGCAAAGAAGTTTAATGTTATCCTGGGCTGTATTAGGCAAAATATTGCCTGCAGGTTGAAGAAGGGGATCCTTCCCCTCTCCTCAGCACTGATGAGACCACTCCTGGAGACCTGGATCCAGTTCAGGTCTCCCTCATAGAAAAGAAATATGGATCTGCCAGAGAGAATGCAATGAAAGGCCACAAAGGTGATGAAGAGACCAGAGCATTTCCTCTTCTGTGAGGATAGGCTGAGAGAGCTGGGGCTCTTCTACCCAGAGAAGAGAAGGCTCAGGTGGGATCTCATCAATGTATAAAAATACCTGAAGGGAGGGTGCCAAGAGGACAGGGCCAGGCTCTCTTCAGTGGTGCCCAGAGGATCAGAGGAAGTGAGCACACACAGGAGGCTGTCTGAAGATCAAGTAGGTAGCCCAGCCTGAGCAGGAACTGGACCAGACCACTTCCAGACATCCCTTCCAACCTCAACCACTCTGTGATACTGGAAACCTTGATTTTGAAAGAACACAGACAAACTGTGTAGCCATAACAAAAGTCTCCTCCAGGTCACTCAACCCATGCTGAATTTAATAGGACTTCCTCAGAAAAACAGAAAGGGTGGGAAACAAAAAAAGCCTTTTCAGTGTTTGGTTTTTTTTTTTTTTCCTGTCAAGATAAACAATTATAAGGCAACATTGCATTGCTGCCAGGTCCTCATTTTATTTCATGTTTAACTACACTCAGTGTAGCGCAGGGGAACACTAAACAATCACTGCATCTCACATGAGCAATAAGGAGACTGGGGGAAAAAAAATCCCCAACAAAAACCAACTCCAAACCAAAACACAACTGCATGCCTTGTACATATTGGTGTGGTTTGTCCTGGTGAGCAGTCACCACGGATCAGCACGATTTCCATGTCTTTATCACTGAAAATCAAATTGAGTAATAACTGTAGGGCCACGTCCTCCAGGCCCACAACCTTTCCTCCACACCATTAGGTGACCACAGGTGTCTGACTCCTGTATTTCTTTATACTGAGAGGTTTTGAAAGAATGCATCAGTTATCTACTACCTCCTCCTGCAAGATGGGAGGAGAACAATAACGTGAGAAAAGGATGGAAGGGAAGACACAAAGGGAAGACACAGAGGTTACTTATGCACAAAGCTGGAGAACAGCAGCTTTTCCATTCTCATGACTTTTTTGCTAGATGGTATTTAGTCACCATGCCAATGCACTTCAAAGACCAAGCACAAGAAAAACTCGTGGAGTATTTAGAGACATAGGACTTTAAAGGTATGTACTGAAAAAGGCTGTTCAAATCACTGGACATGCTGAGGAATTACCTCAGCTGAGGTTTAAATTTAGGCTGGGCTATGTAGCACCTCTGACTTGTTCAAAGCATATAAAGAAGGAATTAGCATATGAAGCATTAAGGATACACCTTTACATTCCTGAACTTTGTTATGGAGGGATTTGCTTTTACTTGGAGCAGGGCATAGCATCTCTGAGTGAGATTCTAACAGTTCTGTTTAACTAGGACAGTATTTCTGCTACTGTGAGAGAAGTTCTCAGAGCAGGGTTAGGAGTAGGATCTTTTTGAAGAGTAGCTTTCTCATTACATTAGTACAGCCATAGGCATTTTTGGTCCTTCTTTGGGAGTTCTAGTCTTGGAAGCCTTCCACTTTTGTGCTTCAGTGCTAAACAAAAAAATAACTTCTACAAACTCATAAATATTTTCCTCTACTCTGTCTTAAAGCTCATCTAACGTGACTTGCATCAGGCATTCAAAGCTTTCCAAAGTGAAGTGCCTCAGGAAATATTCAGGATCATCACTGTCACAGGAGAGAATGGGGAATTCCATTACACCATCAGTTGAGTGAGAAACTGTGTATTGCTCCTACCATGAAGCTGACTGATTTATCAAGTGCTACCTTTCAAATCATTAAGAAGAGCCTGGGTAGTCTTGTTGGTTTTCTGTCACAGTGAAATGATTTTCTAGACTTTCTTCAATTTTTTAACTTCTAGCTTAATTAAAAAAAAAAAAAAAAATCAGACATTTTGAAGTTTAGGCTAATTTTTTTGTATGAGTGTTCCATAGTAATATTTAAATTCATCCATTATGATTAACTAGCTCTCTGCTTCACCCAAGCAGAGGACTTGAGAGGAATGAGAACAGTGGTTACAATATTATTATTCCATTTTGATAATTACTATTATTTAATACTTTCTAATAATTTAATTATTTTAAATCAGTGGGTATGCCTTTTATGGCGTGTTTATATAATGTAAAGTTCAACACTAACAGTGCATTAAGAAGTGTATGTTTGCACTTATAAAGCAAACAAAGGGAGATTACAGAAGGATTCAATTCAGTGCAAGAGACTACACAAACATTGGTATTTTAAATACAAGAGTTGAACAAAATTAATCAAATATATTTTCCTGCAGGTGCTGAATTGTGCAATTATGTGACTATGCCCTTGCTTGCAAATGCCCACAGAAAGAAAAACTTAAATTTCTTTACAAAATGCCATAGCAGAACATACCAGGCACCCATCATCCAAGTCCACAGCTCACTGAGATACAAGAGCTCTCTCAAGGAGAAAGAGAAAGGCTTCTACCATGGCTGGCTGAAAACATAAGGAGTAAACATTGCTCAGTACCTGCACATCAAAAGCAGAGAGCCAGGGAAGCAACAGTGCTTGACTGCAGAGTAAATAAAAGAAACAGAGCTATTTTTTGACACTGTAGAGCTTGGAAAGGCAGGCTTAGAAACTGCAAGTGGTAGTCTCTGTGTTCAGCTGCATAGGAAGCTAAATACATGGATGCAAGTCAAAACTAATTGTAAGAATATAAGGGGGTTTTAATAATTTTCTGTTCTTAATAGAAAGAATCCATCAAAGTCTCAAGTGCCTGCTTAAGCTAAGAAGCAAGAGCTGTTTCAGAGGCATTAGCAAAATCCTTATTCTGAACACCTTCAAGTAGCATATTCGTGAAAAGAAATGCTTATTAACAAAGGACATACATTTTATAGGACTAAAAGGTAGGCAGTCCTCCCAGAAAGGCATGCCACACCTGAGCATTGCATTATCCCAAGCAGCTAAAGTTTGGGAGAAGATGAAAGGTGAAATGTTGAACCTTCCTGAGCTTTTACTATTGGTAAATCGAGCCCTTACGTCAGCTGAACACAATAAGTCCTCCATAATAATTCCTTTTATGCCTCAGTTAGTCTAGAGAAACACAGCCCCTCGGTTTCTGAGTCACTGCTCCACATCCTGCCCCGCTCCTGCACTTCCTCATTCAAGGCAGAAGTGGCTCTCAGCAGCACGTTTGGATCTCAGCACATGCAGAAAGGATACTGAGAGATTCCAGAGGTAAGCAAGAGACCACTTTTTCTGTCTTGTACTAGTAAGTGCTAGAGCTGCGGTATCAGGGCTATGGCTTTTTGGCTAAGGTCTTGTGAAGTCGCTTCAAATGATGTAGAACACGGGGAAAATGAAAAAGAAACAATCTGGGTTTGGCTTGTTTATTTTATTTTTTCCTTTGACATAAGCGACAGTTTGCTGAAGCAGAAAAAATGCAGTTCGAGGGGTTTCCCAGTTAAAATGTTTCAGCTCTGCAGCTCCACTCCCCTGCACTGGCTGCCAGCTGGGGTGTGTTTAGACTGCAAAATGAGGAGTGAGGCTAAGGCTACCACTAAAACAAAAGGCAGTTTTCACCTGACACCCCAAAAGGCATTTTAAACTAATTTACTCACAATACAGTTTTGCCTTTATTTCTGCTCTTTAATGTTTTTGTTTATCTTTAGTTATTAATGTGACACATTGACAGAAGTGGCTGGGTGGGGAGTTTCGGTTTAGTAGTGAAATTCAGAGAATGAACTGGCTGAAAATAATCAAATCCCACTTACTGCCTCAAAATGTCATTTGGGCAAGAAAAAAAAAAAAGGCTCAAGATGTTCAGCATATTAGTCACACCAAAAAGGAAGCCCTACAGAACTTCTCAGGTCCTGAATGGTCACTGTTTACAAACTGACAGTGTACAATAGTAGTTCAAAAACCCCATGCAAGGAAGGTACGGGGTCCCCAGGGTACACACACAATCACACAACCCGAGGAGCAGTCTGCAGCTAGAGAAGTCAAGTGTAGGAGTGAAAAGACAAGAAAAAGGGAAAGCAATTGCATAGCAGGGTTTTCCCAAGTCACAGGTCACCCTGGTTTCAGTTACAACCACTGGTGGACTTTAAAAAAGAAAAGAACAAAATACTGTTGCACAAGAGGGTTTCAGACAAACTCTCTGCCTTCGATTTTTTGATGGAAGATTTTTATTAGATGAATTAAAAAATAAAAAACAAACAAACTCCCCCTACAAAAACTACACAGCCACCAGTCCCTACAGCAGGGTGCTGAAGGCAGCTTTCCAATTTTAAAATCTGTTTTTATTCTTCGTAGCTCATCCCTTTCCTTAGAAGGAACTGCACCCACCAAGGTAACGCAGGGAGAGAGGAAGGTGGGAGAGAGACGCTTTGGAAAAGTACAGAGAGACTGATGCCACAAAGCCCAAATTCTCACACCTCCATGTGAACTCAGGCCTCTCAAGAGCCAGCTCATGACAGACAGTTTTCCTTTTTGAAAGCTAAACAGAAGCATTTCACCGGTTGATTAAAACCGAATCCTGAGCAAGGAGGGAAATGACACAGCTACAGATTTCAGTTCTCATTAAATCAGAAAGTTTGGTATTATTTTAACTTGACAACACGAGTGTAAGTAATGTAGAGGCAGGGATCAGCAGAGATATTTCATTCTCGAGGAATTATTTACGTATTTCTGGAAAGGAAGAGGAGGTGGTAGGATGTTTTCATTGAGCCCTCTTCTTGTAACAAAGACCAGGTTATTGAAATATTTACCAAGACGAGCATTACAAAAGCTATGAAAGTCCTAAAATAAGATTGCATGAGTGTACATACTACATTCAAGAGACTGATCCCTTGGTAGAACAGTCACCAGTTCTGCAGATTTTATCTGCTAAAGAAGACTCTGCAAAAGAAAAAGCCTATATATTGTTTAAAAAAAAAAACAAAGCAAAACCAAACAAACTACCAACACCAAGCCAAACATACACACAGATCCAGTCAACTCTTTAGGGGGCTTGTTGGCTTTTTCCCACCTTGTCATTGCAAATGGTATCTACAGCTTACTGCTAGCACAAGGCAGAAGTGGACCTGTTGTAGCAGACTCAGAAGAGGTCCACAAAAATGGTCAGTACTGGAGCACCTTTCCTCTGGAGACAGGTTGAGAGAGTTGAGGTTTTTCAGCCTGGAGAAGACTCCAGAGAGACCTTTAGCATGTCCTTTCAGTGCTTAAAGGGGGCTTAAAAGAAACAGACTTTTCACCAGGCCCTGTAGTGACAGGACAAGGGACGATGATTTTAAACCAAAAAATGGTAATTTGGATTGCAAAAGGGAATTTGGATTGTAGGGAAGAAATTCTTTAGTGCGACCATGGTGAGGCCCTGGAATTGGTTGTCCAGAGATGTTGTGGCTGCCCCATCCCTGGAAGCATCCAGGCCAGGTTGGATGGGGCTATGAGCAACCTGGTCTGGTGGAAGTTGTCCCTGCCCATGCCAGGGGGCATTGGCAGTGGGTGAGCCTTAAGTGTCACTTCCAACCCATTCTATGCTTCCATGGCAAGTACTTAAGAATCCTTAGAAAAAGCTGAGCTGGTTTCTGTCTCTCACATCCCTCTCACATCCCTTTTCTGAACTGTGTTACAGCCCTCCCTCCCACTCCAGACAAGAAACCTGCAAGAGCTCCTTAAGTCTCCTATGGAAGCTGAGCATTCCTAAACATCCACAGAAGGTGGCAGTCCAGGTGACAGGATGCTGCGTGCACGTGACAGTGACTGAGCTTTGTTTCCACAGGTGAGAGACAGAAGGGGAAGGAAGGAAAAACTATGAAATGTCCTCTGAGCAACAAAATGTTTTTCTGTTACGGTCCATTAAATACACACACGCACATAGGATGTGAATATATAGTCAGTGAAGTATCTCACTGAACACTGGCAATTTTCAGAGGCATGTAGGGATGTGTATACGCTGTGAATGTACCTGCAGTCAGGTTTTCCAAAGCAAACTGAGCCTCAGAGACTTCCAGTCATTGATTTCAGTTCACATCTGCTCATACCTTTTTAAATTCCAGTCATTGATTTCACTTCACATCTGCTCAGATGTTTTTAAAACAGCACCTCAGTGCCTTCAGGCACATCCTATCCCACAGTAGGGTGTGGTACAGAGGCGTCTGTGCTAACAAGGTCTGGAGAAGTGCCACTGTCCTAGTGTAATGTTGCCCAGGCATGAATCCCCTGTGCTGATGGGAATGCACAAATTGCTGCTCCCCAATAGACTTTGCAGGATTTGGCTGCTCCTGACCTGGGACAAGAGCTCAGATCAGCACAGGGCTGAGCACCCCTGGCTGCTCAGACCTGGCCAAAGGCACCTGTACCACCTATGGTTTACAGAAGGGGCAATCAAGAACTGAGTTTTCAGTTTGGTCTGCTACTAGAAGTACAGAAAAGTTAGTTTTGACAGTGAGTTTTTGGTTTTGTTGGGGTGTTTTCCTCTTTAAGTTTTCCCTCCTGCTTACACAGGGTCCTATACAAATAAAATCACAGCCACCTTCAGCATCACTAATAAGAATCTTCATGTTATGGCAGTAGATAATTCCAGATTTAGTTGTTCTCTCAGCTGCTTTTTATAGAATGGTTTGGGTTGATAGGGACCTTAAAGATCATCTCATTCCAACCTTCTTTCAATGGCCAATTCACTAGATCAGGTTGTTTAGAGCCCCATCCAAAACGGTCTTGAACACTTCCAGAGATGGGACATCCACAGTTTCTCAGGGTGCCCAATTTGAGTGCCTCATCACCATCACAGTAAAGAGTTTCTTCCTCATGTCTAACCTAAAGCTATCCTCCTTCAGCTTAAGACCATTTCCCATGGTCTTATCCCTACATGCCCTTGTGAAAAGTGCCTCTCCAGCTTTTGTGTAAGTCCCCTTTACATTCTGGAAGGCACTCTGAGGTCTCCCTGGAGCCTTCTCTTCTCCAGGCTGAATAACCCCAACTCTCTCAATCTGCCTGCACAGGAGAGGTGCTCCAGCCCTCTGACCATCTTCATGGAATCCTCTGAACCCAGAAGGTCCACATCTTCCTTACACTGGGGACCCCAAAGTTGGACACAATACTCCAGGTGGGGTCTCACGAGAGAGGCAGAATCCCCTTCCTCAACCCACCAGGGCACAGTTGGCTTTCTGGGCCGCCAGTGCACATTGTCAGGTCATGCTGAGCTTCTCATACCCAAAGTTTCACTCCAAATCCACTTTTTTTTCTATAAACAAAGAGTGCTGGGGGGGGGGTGTAATTTAACTTTTGCTTGCTGTAGTTGAAGAATGTAACTTTATCAAAGAGTGGGGAGGACGGACAAAACAGGTGAATTTTTCATCTAGAGAACAGTAAGGGGTTTTTAACTTTTAAAATTATTTCTACAGTTTAGCTTTGCATGCAGGTTTTTTTCTCTCACATCTCCTTGTGCATACATTATTGTGCACTTTTCTGTATTATTTTATTTCACCTATAATTTCCTTGGAAGGCTACTGAAAAAAAACTAAGCTCAGTGAAATGAAGGAGGCTGCTATTTGCTTGTTGGGTTTTTGTTTTTGTTTGTTTGTTTTTGTCTCCCATTAGTTTACGATTATAGAGAGTTACTTGTAGAGTCCAAATGTATTTCTCAACTAAGCACATTTGAGATATCTTCATTTCATCTCTGGCTTTTCAAAATCTGAGCTTCCCACGTTGTGCATTGCCATGTGCTGAAGTTCTGAATCATAAGTTTTTTGTAAAACCAAACTTGCTTTCAGCTCCTTTATCAGCAGCCTTGCCAGAGCAATGATTGCTGTGACCATGGGCAGAGAGTTCTCAGAACTAGAGCCAAGCAGATCCTTCTCATCATCATTTCTCAAGAGGACTGATTTATTTAGACATCAGGAAAAAGCATCCAGAATTCCCTACATTTCTCTTGTTGAGGCAGCCCAGCTTTTAAAGTGAGATTTACAGGGTCTAAAGGGAATTGCTCTATGTGCCTTCCGCATCCTTGCATGATGCAAGCTGACCATTGAATACATCTGAAGAAATGGCACATATTCCAGTTATCCAGCCCTGAAGGAGCTGGTGTTGTCTTCTTCCCTGCACCACCACAAAGAGTGTAAACAACACTGAACTGCTCCAAAACCACACTTTTGTTTGCAGTTATTCTCTCCATTATCATGAACTCTTACTTCCTGAAAGGTGACCATTTCCTCCTACCCAAATGCATTTAACTATCCAGAGAAGGACATCTCTCAAATAGCAATGCTGAGGGGAAAAACAAAAACAAAAAAACCAAACCAAACAAAAAAAAAAAAAAAAAAAAAAAAAAAAAAAAAAAAAAAAAAAAAAAAAA